ACCAGCATTTAAGCAGATAGATCATAAGTGACTTTCAAGTAAAATCTTCTGTAACAAGCTAGAAATACTAAAAATAATTATCAAGATCAGAGTTTAACTCCATGAAGAACATTAGACCTCTTTAAAAAACCAATTATAAGTTAATAACAGTGAGAATAGACCACGGCCTCAAAAGGAGAAATTTAAGAAAATGACAAAATTGTACAGGCTCGTAAACACATTCCTAATTGCATCCCGATGACACTACTTCCCCCATATTAGAATATGAAGCAAGTTGATAAGTGCATCTGCTAATCTGAAGAAAGAGATCAATAGGAGCAGCTGATCGGGAAGATTAATCATTGGAGTTGCTGCCGCCAACTTCTCTGCTTCAAATTTAGGCACGACTTGGTTTGGCTAAAAATTAATTTTTTTGTAAATTTTGATAGAAATTAATTAAATATATGATTAAAAAATTGCTAAAAATTATGCATCCCATAAAATGTATGATTGAAAATAAATTGAGAAAAAATGAGTTCTAGAGGACCAAACGAGGGCTAATCCCCTGTACCTAACCTGACCAAATTCACTTTTTTCTTGAAACCAAATTGGACCATTTGAACATGAGGAAATTACAAAAAAGCAGATGTTTTAACTTTCAAATTCAAAATTCAGGTCCAATATTTATCTAATCAAAAATCAGGTATAAATTAAATATTTAAATAATATTATAATACTAAGTTTTCAAACCCTAATTCATTTTCAATCCATATTTTCTCTCCCTTTCTCAACATTTTTCTCGCTGCCCTCTCTCTCTCTCTCAACATTCTCAGCCAAGTCACCTCCCTCCGTCAGAGCTACCGTCACAAGAAGTGGCTACAGCAGCGCTCCTCTCGCCGTCGCTCTCTTTCTCTCTTCATCCCTCATCTCATCTTCTCTCATGAAAGTGTCGTCGCCGCACCTGAACTGAGTCGCGACGCTCAGTTCCCTCGAGCAGCAGATCGTCGTCGTCGCATCTGAACTGAGTCGCGACGCTCAGTTCGCGCGAGCAGCAGATCGTCTCGTCGTCTCACTGATGTGGTGTTTGTGGATCTACTGTGACTAGTAATTTAAATAGTATTGTGATGTTATTTGTGGATCTACTGTGGTGGTGTTTGGGTGGGGGATTTAGGTGGTTGTGGTTGGTGGTGCAGGTGATGGTTGTTGTGATGGTTTTTGTGGTGTTGGTGGTGAGGTGGCGGTTTGACTGTGGAGGTGGTGACGGCTTCGGTGGTGGTTTTTTGGTGTTTTGTTGGTGGGCATTTGTGATATTTGCTGCGGCGACGAAGTGGTGGTGCTGTTGGTTCTGGCGACTGTCGTCGGCGGTGAACGTCACAGGGTGGTCACAAAGGTCGGTGTGGTCACGGGATGGTCACATAATCGTTGTGCAATGCCTTGGCGATGGGTGGGTTTGACCGTGTTTTTGTGTATCGTGGCAGTGATGGGACTTGTGGTTGTGATGATTTTTATTGGCAGTGTATTGGGTGGCGGCTTTGTTTGGTGGGTTGATAATGGTGGTGGCAGTTGACGGTGGTGCAGGTGGAGGATCTGGTGATTTTGGTTTTGTGACTAAAAATATAATCTGTGACTTTAAAATTCGATAATCTGTAACTAAAAATATAATCTGTGACCAACCATTTTTTTATCTGTGATTGTAAAAAAATCTGTAACCAATTAATTTGGAAATATGTGACTGTGTGATCTATAAATTTTGATCTGTGACCAACGAATTAATTGTGACCTACAAAAATTTTAAGTTGTGACTGTAAATTGTAAATCTGTGACCAGAATGGTCACCGAAATAGTCGTCGGAATAATTGCCGGAATCGGAGCGTCGCCGGAACGGTCGTCGGAATAGTCGCCGAAGAAGCGTGGTGGTCGGAATGGTCACCGGAATAGTTCCCAGAGTGGTATGGGTGGTGCATGTGGGATGGGTTAATTATATTATATTAAAATTAAATATTTAATAATAAATTGATTTAATAATTTATTATTTCATAAATAAAAATTTAAAAAAACCTAATTTTTGAATTTTCAAACTATAAACCTGATTTTTGAATTGGTGTAAAGTATACACCTTATTTATGAATTTTTCCCTTAATTTAATACACAATAATTTACATATAAGCCCACATGATTGATTAAAAAATCCTTATATAATTTTCTTAGTAAATACTAATTGAAAGAAGGGTACAAGAATGATCGTATATGCTAATGTGTTTTTATTTTAAAAAAAAAAAAATTCAGTAAGTGTATTTGTCATTGTTGCTATATAAGTTGATAAAATAAATTTTTGTCACTACCTGCAGATCAAGCATTAGTGGAAGGATTATTATTTTTCATAATCAACTTTTACAAAATAGACCTTAAACAATTTTATATGGATAAAACACATTCATTGAGTATTCCAATGGTTGTTTGCTCATTTGATACAAAAAAAAAAAAAAGATCCTTTTAAACCTAGCGAAGATATTGAAGAACTTTTTGATCTTGAAGTATCGTATCTCAATAGGTGCATTATTGTATCTTGTTAACATTATACGACCCAATATAGCATCCTCAGTAAGTTGTTATAAAGATATAGTTGGCTCCTTCAAGAAGACATTAGAAGACAAGGTTTTCGAATAACTATATCTTAAATTAGTAAAAATGAATAGATTGAGTTATGTCTCGAATTCGGTATTTAGTTAGTTTAGCGATGCAATTAACATTAGATATATGTCTAATAAACGTGGTTATGACCTATTTATACAGAATGTTCAATTGTATATCTATATGAAAGTCCTGGGAGGATTTAAAATTCCTAAAGAATGTAATTCAAATGTTCTAGAAATGGTTCGATCAAACTATAAAGATCATTTATGAATTAAAATAATCTGGACGTACGTAGTATACTTGTCTTAGTAAATAATTGTTGAAAGAAGGTACAAGAATGATCATTCATGTCCATATATCTTTATAAAGAAATTTAATAAGTGAATTTGTCATTATTGCTATATAATTTGATGATTTAATCATTACTGGAACACTGGATGGGCTTCCAAACGCGGTGATTATCTAAGGAAAGAATTGGAGATAAAAGTTTTGGAAAAACAAAATTTTGTACGGCCTGCAGATCGAGCATTAGCTGAACGATTTTATATGGATAAACCACATCCATTGAGTATCCCGATGGTTGTTGCTCACTTGATACGAAAAAAGGATCCTTTTAGGCCTTGAGAAGATAAATTAAGAAGATCCTACTTGGTCTCGAAGTGTCGTACCTTAATGCAAAAGGTGGACTATACGATCGAATATAGCATTCTTAGTAAGTTTGTTAGCAAGAAGACTCCTTCGCGAAGAGATTGGAAGGGAGTAAAACATGTATTTTGTCATCTCCAGGGAATAATTTACGTTCTTATGTTATCTAATAAATCTAAATCAGAAAACCCACATAAAGCTAGGTCTCAAACAGATTATCTTCTCACACATTGTAGTACTTCTATATTATGACTATCGATAAAATAGACACTAACTAAGATTTCTTCAAATCATACTAAACTACTTGCAATTCATGAGGAAAGTCGAGAATGTGCATAGTTGAGATCGATAAACAAACATAGTTGAGAGACGTGTGGTCTATCTTCTACTAAAGGAACAATAAAAATACTACGAGAGGGAGGATAATATTGCATGCATAGTTCAACTAGAGGGAGGACTCATTAAAGGTGTCAGAACAAAACATATTCACCAAAAATCTTTTTCACCCATGATCTTGACAGATTCGTTCAAATGATAATCTCACAAATTTTTAACAGAGGCATTACATACTGCACATTTGAGAAGTTGGTTAGCAATATTGGAATGCATCAGAACAAAGATATGTTGGCTGCGGCGACATTTCACTTCTTTTTGAAGACAAGTCCACCAGAAATTCCAGATAGGCAAATGTAACTTAATATGCTTTATGGACAACAAACCAAAATAATAAAATAGCATAAAATCGTAGTAGATATGTTATCTATCTGACTACCAGGTAATAACAGCTCACAAGCTGAAACATAATTCTGAATCACAAATCGGATGTGATCCAAATAGTATATTATCAAACAATGGCACAAAGCCAGGAATCAAGGCAATATCTTGTGACAACAATGAAATCCCACATTTCTTTCCTAGCTAAATCAATTTACAAAGTGTAAAATTTACAGCATGTACTCGTCAATCGAAAACTACATACTTACATGTGACAGTAAAAAAACTCATGAAGCTTCTTCCACTTTCCTAGACTAGAATCCAAGTACCTTGACAGGTACAGAAACTGCACCCTTTCGCAATTTATATTGAACAGCAAAGTGATGAATCGCATCTTGAAATCTTGTAAATGTGACTAGGAATTCTGCAGCATCAGCCTTGCTCAATACCTTATTTACAACCAATTCCAGAGCCTTCAACCTATTTTACATCCATTTGACGAGTAATTGATATAAGACAAGCATTTGATGTCACAAGATAAAGGTACTATATCATAAGTCACGTCCAAGTTGTAATGTTATAAGGAGTATAACAAGCACCTGAGATTTTGGGCCTTAGTGACAACCCGGTGGATTTTCTTGAATTCCGACTGCATACAAGCCAAGGCAGGGCCACTGCCCTCAACCCTCACTGGACTGAAAGGGAGGTCTAACACACATGTTGCTTGAATTTCAGCCATTTCTTCATCTATTACTGCCTCCTCAATACGCACATCGTTGATCAGCTGCAATAAGACCTGTTCAAGTCCAGCAGAGTCCGACGAGGATTGTATTAACAAGCGGGATAGCTCTAGAATCATCGTAGGCCGCCAATCACCAAGCCAGGATGTTGCAACTAGTTCGTGGGCCGAGGCCTCCTTGGGCATGAGAAGTTGAGTCACATCCTTCATCGTAGTCGGGACCCTGTTGTAAATGGCCCGGAAATGACTCAGTTGTTCATCAATCAACTGTTCGATGGACCATCTTGCTTTGAGCTGTTTTTCTAGCCTTGCTTCTCTAGTCCTCATCCCTTGCCTGCGTAACCCATATTTCTCCCAAGAAAACTCTTCACCTAATAAACACGTTATGTTAAAATCTACCCACCCCACAAACACAATCTTTTGCAATGAACACAATTTATATCGAGTCTAAAACACTTCCAAAAATATAAATTGATCCTTAAACACAATAACCCATGTCCTCAATTTCTCAATAGAACCCAAGAAACGTGAATGTTCAGATATAAAACCAAGAAATCGACATATTCTAATACTTAACATGATAACAAAAGAAGAAGAAAAACACTGGCAATTAAATAATTCATAAAATGAAAAATATACATGGTCTTTTGCCTTTTCGTTTGTAGATTGTCATGCAAGTGACTTGCTGGGTAATGTCGTCAATTCTATCACCAATTCGTTGTTGGGTCTTGTACCCATCTTTGAGTTCGAATTTTTTGCTTTTGTTCCTGGCTTGTTCTTCCTGATCAGATTCTTGAAAACGTTTTCTAAAGAATCATATATTAATTCGGCTGATTAGAAAAGGATATTCAAAACAATGCAAATTGAAAAGAAGAAAATATAAAAATTACATTAGGGATTGAGAAGAAGCCCTCCTCATTTTTTTTTCTTGCTCTTCAGCCTGATTTTGAATTCAATCTCCAAATTGAGTTTTGGGGTGCTGATAGCAGCGGTATTTCAAATTTTACAAAATATATTGTTTATAAATAATTACTGTCTGTTTTAAGCCCTATTTGGTATACATTAATATTTTCATCTTCATCCTTCTATTTATTTTCGATTATACATTTTTCAATAAAATAATATTTTACATCACATCAATAACTTTTCTTTTTTTTTTTCAATCACAAATTTTACATCAATCTACTATTCCAAAATACATTATTCCAAAATAATGTGGCTCAAACACACATGTTTGTCATTTATGAGCTGAAAGTTCTAAAATTCAAGCATCACACAAGTGTATATAAATAGAATGAGTTTTGCTACACAAATATAATGTTTGACATAGGAGATGACACAACACACATGGAAGAGGTTGACATTATTTAATTCAAATCGGGACCTACATACAATGTGAGAGGTCGATCAACACATATGCCAACATTATGTTCATTTGGCTTAATTCAAATAGAATAAGCCCTCGTTTGATGTGGAAATTAAAAATAAATTTTGATAAAAGTAGATGAAATATAAGGTTAAAAAGTTGTGAGCTCAATACAATATGCAATTAAAAATAGTTATTGATTTTAACTTAAATTAAAATTTTAATTTTAATGGTAGCGCTAAGTATGATAAAACATAATTGTGAATATATAATTGAAATTAATGTTATAAAGAACTTGTTACGTGTATATCAAGATTGACATAAATGTTTTAAAATATAGTCAGTTTTCACCTCTAAATTTTTTTCTCCACATCATTTTGGCCACTCATTTCTGACAGATTTCCTCTATAAAAACAGCAAAATTCATGTTATAAAAAAACTTATTTATGAATTTGTGCTCTTGTTTGATCCTCATTTTTTAAAATACATTTTTCTTTGTCTTTTTTTCAATCACACACTTTTCAATAAAATAATATTACATGCAAACTCAAAATTTTTCCGCATTTTTTCAACTATACATTTTACACCAATCTACTATTCCAAAATTCATTCTACACAAAAAATAAAGTTCAAACGGGTATCAAAAGGAGGCTATCACCGCATTGTAATAATTAAGATTTTGCTCGAGCTCCACTTTTTTGGTAAAAATAAGTTTATAATAGTGAGTTTTTAAAGAATGTGTGGTTTAAAAATAAAAATAAAAAAATAAATTTTAGTGCAAAATTATTTTATTGATAAAATATATTATTGAAAATGAATTTTCAAATGATATGGCTCAAATCCAAACTAAATGGTATAAATAGGTAAGTTGACAAATTTCAAGCCTTCCCAAATAGTAAGGTGTGCGGCCGAAAACAGTGAAATCTTAACATTATCAAGTAAGCAAAAGCAACTATATAACTTTGTTGTTATGATAAATACATACATAGTGCGTCGCATCGACATTAAGCACCTAATTGGCTCCATTTTCTAAATTTCATCTTTTCTAAACTTATCTTCTATCACACATTCTTTCAATAAAATAATTTTATACTTGAATTCAAAACTTTTTTCTAATTTTTAACCGCACGTTCATTAGAAAAAAAATCAATTTTCACAAAAATATATTCTTAAAAAACCTCTATCAGATAATGGCTAAGCTTCATTTTCATCAAAAGGTCACTCAACTTTAAATTATATTTCATTTTTAATCATCTAAATTTATACTATTTCAATTTGTTCATCATAGTGACTTTATCATCATCTTCTTCTTCACTTCTTGAATTAGTAAACAATCCTACGTGAATCGCATAGATATATTATGTTATAGCAGCAAAAAGAAAACATTATTAATCATTAAGTTCATTTTGTATCAATTAGGCCAACGTGTTAGTATTAGTTAGTTGATACTTGAAAATAGTTAGAAAAATCATATGAACCACAACACGACTTATATGACAAGTTTTTATTGTTTGAGAGTAATGTTGGCTCTCCACATAAGCAAATCACATTCCAACTTCTAAAATGCACTTCGAAAATATAATTTTTTTATTCCAAAAAAAGTAAGATACGTGGCTTTTGAAAAGCTAAAGGTTAATTCTTAGATTAAGAACCTGCTTTAAAGAATAATTTTTTTGAAAATGCTTTATTTGATCAAAATCAAGCTCTTCTGAGAAAAGCAGAAGTTATCCCATTAAACTGTGTTTTTCAAGTTATTCTTAGTGCGATAATTCTTCTTGTTATTCTCTATTCTATGTTAGCACTTCTATACAAAAAAAAACTGAGTTTACTGAATAAGTTGACAAGGGTAAAAAGCTAAAAGGAATTCATGTAAAAGAGATAATAATGTGGTGAAAAATCGATTTCCAAATATGCAGCATAGTTCCATTTAGGAAGAAGATGAACAATTTTCACTTCTTCATATTCACCAAGTCAAATAATCGAACGTGCATATTCGAGTTCTACCTTCGAAACTGCAACCACAAGATTCTAACATACGTGGTCAACTATACTTACACGCTAAAACGAGCTACCTCAACCAATTTGTTGCTCACTTCCAAAGCATAATCGTCTATAACAATGTGTACCCTCTACCTCTTCTCAAACCATGTGATTTCGAACGGGATAGCCAGTGTTTCAAAAAGTGGGCTAAATTGAATTTTTCTCGAGGAAAAGCCAAGTCTTGTTCACAGTTGAAGTCCTTCTGGTCGCTTTCTTGATCTTTGATGCTAACATGATCATCAGCTTTTGCATCACAAGCATTTGATCTGTTAACAAATGCTTTTAACTTCATTTTAATCATAAAAGAGTATAAGCACGACTGCTAAAGTCGTAGCACGAAGAGCTCATACTTCAAGACACATAACTTAACGAAATGGCATACCAAAGCAAGTTAATTGCTCGTAATATTCAGGCATGTATTGAATCTTACAGTGAGTGTTGTTCGGATACAACAAAGTGATTTTCAGATTGCTGTCGAGCAGGTTTGTGGTCAATCCTCATATGCCGGCTAAAACGAAGCTGTATTGTCAAAGAAACAGCAATCATACAATCTATGATGCACCGACACAATACGTGTCGGATACGCCAACATGTGATTTTTAAAAAAAATACAGACACGTCATGTCATCGACACGTTGATTAAATTCTTAAAATTTTTTCATTTATATAGTATAAATTTAGTTTTATACTTGTTATTAATTTTTCTTGTTGAAATCTTTTAAACATGAGTACCTATTTATTACTTGCTAATAATTTTGAATTAACAATATATAATATTTCTCATATAAATATAATTTTGAATTAACAATATATAATATTTCTAATATAAAAAGAAAAATGATTACGGTAGAGTGTTCGAGAAGTGTCGGTATCGACTCGTGTCTTACACGTGTCGGACACGGACACGCTAAACCAACTGAAGCGTCTGTGCTATAGAGCATATAATGAAATCCAATAAATAACTGAGAAATTAGGATATGTGTGTGTGTGTGTGTGTGTGTGTGATTTGGCATAAACCTCAAAATAGCATCTATGAAATTTGCCTTGGAGAAAATATATGTTTATCGGTGCAGACTACATTCAACATTCAACAAGTTACAGTTCAGCTGAAGATGTTTCAAGTACAATTAGAAACAGATGAGACAATAAGACAGCATTAGTATATGAAAGTAGAATTACGAAAAAAAAGTAATAAATGATGTTCAATGGCAAATTCAATTCATTCCCTCTGAAGCTTAAGTATTACTCAGTGCTCAGTAACTTTATCGTTCCTAATTCTTTGGGTTTTCATTCAAGGAGATTAATAAGGAAGGATAAACTGATATACGTATCAGTAACCAAATTTAACTGGCTCAGTAATAACGATATGTTTATGAAACGTATCTTCAGTAAGCCAGAGATTACACAACCATTGACTTATCCTCAGTTAGTAGCACGACTCGCTAGAGTAATCTCATTGCAAAGTTTACTGACAGTGATTTATGCATATTTCGTACTACTCGGGATATAAATGAGCATAAATGCAGCTACAATGTAATCAACACAAGAAAGAAAAAATGGCGTTGATGTTCAGCGTGCTTTTTTTCACTACATTCAGTTCACAAATATGTATCTTGCTTATGTCTCTAAAGTACTTGTGGGTCCACGAAGTGTGTATAAAAAGTGATTTTGACCTAAAAACTGATTTAAGCTTTTTGTTATCTTTCTCCTATGATAAAAAAATGGTGGGGGCTCACTTTTGAGAGAGGTGAAGACATTTATATTGGGACATAACCTGCTTCCATCTTGAATCAAATGAGAGAATGGTAGAACATGAAACTAACCTCATCACCATCTTTGATCCCATAACTTCGAAGGCAAGCTTTCTCATTGATTAGCTTTTGACCCTTGTAGCACAAACAGAAGTGGCTCCATATAAGTGACCTATTCATTCAATTCAATTCATTTCCCATTAAAAATCTCACTCTTTAAGTTTATTTTTGCCATTGTCTTGAATGGGATCACACTCAAGCATATATAAGGGGTTTAGAATTCCACATGTCTACAATTTAAAGACAGCTTTAAATTATCTTTAGAAGATCCAAAGTCCGGGTACATCAAACTATTCGAGTCAATAACACTAAGAATGGCTCATTAATCAAGTCAATACACTAAAGACACGTTTGGTACGGAGGAAACAAACACATTGTATATTCATAGAACATGTATGATAATTCACATTATTATGCATCAAAAAGATTGTTCAGCCTAAAATAATTTTTCGAAAATGTTGATATTCGTATCTTTTGATGGACTAAACTTTCCGAAAACATTTGACCTGATATATTATTGTGTACGTGGATACAGTTTTTCTTGGGTTAAAAATCTCAATGACCTGTGTACATTCAACGTTATTTGAGAACAATCACTGTACTTTCAAAGTCATTTCCACTTGTCAATCCGTTTCCTTCATTTTGAATATTAACAATTCCATTGATGTGGCAAATAGAATCGTTAATTTTAAACCACATTGAAAATAATGCGACTGGTGGGAGTTTTTCAAGTGGAGCTACAAATGGGAGGAATAAATACCTGCAGGAAGATCTCAGGGCAAAGAAAGTGAGTAACTAGTCAAGGGCTTACACTTTGATTAGGCTTCCTTTAACGATTTTTTCGACATTTCATTCCTGAAGCCCTGTTGGATTCTAACAACTCTGAAAGTAGGAAGACTATTTGGGAAAAACTGTTCGGGAAACAACTTTGAAAGTACAGTTTTAAATCAGAAAAATATTTAAGTTTAGTAGAGGTTAATAAATACAATGAACATTAGGATTTTTACCCTCTTTTTCTTAAGATCGGATCAATGAATATGATTTTAGTCTTTAAATAAGCATCATCACTACTTATACATGCTTCACACCCATAATCACCCTGTAAATTCTATTATGAAATTAACAAAACAACCAAAATTGGATTAAAACATCCAAAAAAAAAAGAAAAAAAATTATGTACATTCTCATACCATAAAATATTGCCTTCGTCCTCAGGTAAAACATCATAAACTTCCTCAACTGCAAATTCCAGACTGCCCACAGTTGCATTCTTGGATACATAAACACCTGTAAAATACAATAAAATCACCATCTGATTAAATAAGCAAAAACAACAAAATAATCACTTATAGAGACAAGAAATTCTTTAAAAAAAAAAGTTATGGGTCAGATTAATTTACTAAAAGAAGAGCCATCCAATTTGAGAATAGAAATCTGGAGTAGCTGGCCAGGAAGCTTTTTGTACGATAAACTCCCAAGAGTAAACCCATTGTGATGGTGCAGTGAAAATGGGGATATTATTCTTGAAAAACGTTTCAGTATAAACTTCACCATTAAAATCTTACCCTTTTTATCTTTTGTGAAGAATGAATGGATTTAGAAAATGAAGAGTTTTGGGGCGAATTGGCTGGGCGAAATGTGGTTTAAATAGTTTTTTTCTTTTCTTTTCTATTTTTTTTTTTTTTTTTGTTTTTTTTTGTTTTTTAAAATTTTTTTTATTTTTTTTTTTCTTTATATTTTTTTTGTTTTTTATGTTTTTTTTTTTTTTTTTTTTTTCTTTTATTTTTTTTTTTTTTTTTTTTTTTTTTTTGAAAAGGGATGACCGTTATATTTTATGGAGGACCGTGAATGTTTGCTGGGGAGTACGGATAAGACGTTATGTTTTTTTCTTCTTGCTTTTGTTGAGGGACGAAATATTTATTTTTAGAAAAAAGGGTCTAACTTTTCGATTTTAAGGTCCGTTCACCTGACTTTTTTTTTTATTTTTTATAAAGAAGATACCTTAATTTTTATTTGAAAATTAATTTCGAAAGTGATTTTAAAGAAAGTTACGTTGAATCATCTTCCTCTAAATGTCTTTCTAATTAGAAGAATATTTTTATAAAATTAGTCAAACGGGTTAAAAAAACAACATTTTTATTCTCAAAAGCTCATTCTAACATCTCAAAAGTTACGCCAAACGAACTCTTAACGACATGTGTTGGTGGTAAATAATATATTTAAGTCCAGAAATTTGAAATTTCATATGCATAAAATCGTTGATGAGATGACAAAATCTCACGTGACTTTAGTTAGAAAGCAAAATCATCAAATCACTTAAAATTTCTATGCAATTCAAGTGAAAAACGCATACGATTTTAACATTCACGTTGTCAATTTCTTATAACGTGAAAATCCAAATTCGAATTTTGAATAGGTTGGGGATTCAAACATTCACTATTATCACACTATGTGAAATGTTGAAGAGTGTTGTCTTAACTTTTTGTATTTATTATTACGTGGCAGATTTATGTTTTAATTTTATAGATTTATATTTTATTTTTTGAGATATTGATATTAAGGTATTTTAAGGAAATTTAATTTCTGTTGCTTCCTTAATAAGACATTGAAGTTCAATTTCATTATAATCATTTTGAAAAAAAAAACCATCTTATAATGGTTTGGTTTGTTAGAAATAATGTCTTATATCTAAAGTAACAATGATAGTAATCTTCATTACGTACAAACAAATTGTGAATGATGAGCATGTTGAAATCAAAATATGTAAAAACAAGTGGAAAAGCGGGAACGTATTTTTCGTAATTGAAGTGAAAAATGGTTTTTTTTTTTTTCGAGAGTAGTTAAAAATATGAAAAAATTACGAAGATTTTGAAGGGAAAAAAATAATCAAATTAATACTCGTGCAGTGCAAACTTATTTCCATTTGTTTGTTTTGGTGATTTGAATTATAACATCAACTGTATAGGTGAGCGGATACTTTTTGGATTTGAGTTTACATTAATTTTAACTTTTAAAACAGATTACGAGAAAAGAAAATGTCAATTAAGCCCATGTTTGTGTAAATTAAGAAAAAAAATTAGTAGATTTTTGAAATGCGTGATTGAAAAGTTATGGATCTCATGAAACGTATGATCAAATTAATTATTAACTTTAATTTAAATTAAAGTTTAATTTTAATCTATACTCAAACGGGCTAACTATGGACACTTGCCTGGAATTTTTTGTTTACATAAATATAGCACATAATTTATAAACCATGAGGGTGTGTTTGAGCCACATTATTTTGAAAAAATGTATTTTGGAATAATAGATTGATAGAGAATATGTGGTTGAAAAAGAATGAAAAGTTATTGATGTGATAGAAAATATTATTTTATTGAATAACGTGTGATTGAAAATAAGTAGAATAATGAGAATGAAAATTTTAGCCCCCGTTTGACACCCATTTTTTATCTCATTCTCATTCTCATTTTTCTACAGTACTCATTTCTAACCACACATTCTCCAAATAAAATAATATTAAGCATAAACCCAAAAAAATTTCTTACTTTTTAACCACACATTCTTTACATCAATCACTATTCAAAAACTCATTTTTCAAAAGAATGGGTGCCAAACACCCACTTAATGTGACTCAAACAGGGGCTCAATAAACTTTATTGTTCAAGTACTAACGGTCAAGCAAGCCCTAGCCTGTACTTTGTCAAAATAAGCGTAGTTTATTAATAATTGGCAATAGTCATTGTTTGTTCAAACTATTTTGAATATTGAATTTTTAGAAAACACATATTTATGAAATAACGAAAAATTTTGGATTTATGTGTAAAATATTTTATTATGTGAATGTCTGATTGAAAATAAAAATGTTAAATAAATAGTTTTGAGATAATGGCCGTCAAACAGGAAGACAATGTTCAATATTGAACTCTCGAATAACAAGTTTAATAAAAATAAATTAATCTTAAGATCACAAGTCTAATCTTTAATCCCATTGGATATCTATGGAAAGTTGTGAGATATGTTCGAGATTTGGTTTGTTATCCAAGTATCTATTGTATTAAGTAGAAAGGTTTGAAATGCAATAGTTTACTCTATCTATGCATCAAAATACTATTTTACCCTTCAAATTGAATTTTCTTCTCTAGATTGCATATTTCTAAATTTGTGATCTTATCTCAGTTAAATAATTTGATTGACTCTTTATTAGTTACTAAGTGCTTTGATATATCGAAGTATCAAATAATGCTTAAATAGGCATTGGCATCTTATACGAAAGGGACATATTCTATCTTACGAATTATGTTCCAACCATTCACGAGTTAAATGAACGAGCGAAATTCACAAGTTTACAGAATCGTTCACAAGTAATAAATGTGATTAGAGTAGTTATTGTCCCCCGGGAAATAAATTTCAATTCAAGTGTTTTAATCTTGTTTAAATTCAAAATATGTAAACAAAACATATTATTTTGTGATTTATGCTAAATTACTCTAAGAAATCTCTATCTACTCTATTAAAAGAGGGGATGGGGCGTGTACTATTCATTTCCGCACCTTCGTTTTCACACTTACTGTTCATTAACTGGTTCTATGATAAATATCTTGTATATCACTCTTGCCACTTTTTACGTTCAAGCTTTGGCGGTGAAATTTGCCGCCTTAATTAATTAAAAAAAAATATCTGCAACCGACTTACCCACTGTATGTATTTTGCCACTTTTTACACTATATATACATATATAAATAAATTAATAAATTCCACTTTTTACACTATATATACACTATGTAGCCATGGGATTTATTAACAACTATGGGATTTCATCCCC